TCGAGTTCGTTAAGTTGTCATCGGCCGAGATTTAATATTCCAATCAACAGCGACGGCGGCTGCAACAGCATCAGCACGGTTCTATTCAGCACATTTGGAAGATTGAGACGTCGTAATATATCTCCCGTCTACTGACAGCCGTTTCAACGATTCTATATTGCGAGCCTCGATGGACGACGACGTCATCGTTGTCGACGTCAACGAGAGCCCTGAAACGCCGTGTCGAACGGATGTACCTGGGCGATAATTAGATCAAACAAAGAACAAAGAGCTTCGATTCCTGTTCAAGGACTTTCGTGAAACCAGTATCGTACGGAATCTACGCCATGGAAACCCTCCACAGAGAGAGAGAGACCTCGTCCTCAGAGACGTTGCGCGTTGGTCTCAGAATCCGGCAGTTGCTTTGGTTTTGGTCGCTCACCGGTGTTCCGCTTGCCTCTTCGATGATTCCTCCGTCGATGGTTTCGAGGGTCTTCCGTTCGTCTGAAGTCGGAATACATCTGACACATGAAGAAGCCCAACTTGAAGTCAACAGTGCCGGTGCAGATGACGAACACTTCTCTCGTTTCATCTTAAAATGAAAGCCAGTGTTGCGTCGTCGTCTGACGCTCCGCGGCGGCGTTATGCGTTGTTTGCACAGGCGGTGTGGCCTTTTCTTTTTTTCTCGGTCGGATCGGATCTTTGATTTTAGTTTCTTTACCTCGTCGTCGATGTTTCAGCGGACGTTAAATCTACGGAAGAGGCTGACGAGTGAAATCCACGAGGATTTCGAAGAATCCCGAACGTCGTCGGGCAAGACTTTGAGCGGCGGCCGTCGAAAGGAATGAATATTTGTGCCATATTGTTCAGCAACACTTCAAAGGCTTGGCTCAGTCTCTCGACCGAGCTCTTTGAATTACTCCTGCTCCGTCATCCTCTCCGTGACGTCCCAGCAATCGCTCGAGTGGAACGGCCACTACTCATTTCACCCGACACCTCTCGGATTCATTTCGTGCCGGGCCGCCTCCTAACCCATTGTTCAGAGATCGGAGTACGGTCGAGACGGAGGAAACGCGAACGAGTATCTGAATTTGAATTAGTCGTCATCAATAGGCGTGATCAAGTCTCTGATCCATTCCATTTCCATACCGCCGAATCGATGCGATCCCTCTCGGAACTCAAGCTCCGACCGAGAATTTTTCCATACTCGCCCGATGAGCATCGTATCCCTCGAATCGAGCTCAATGGAAAAAAGTCCCGAATAATAGATCGAAAGGGTGCGAATTCCCACGGGAGCGTAACAAGTGCCGGCGCTTTCCACAAGTTCTCAGAAGCTCTATGGTCTCGATGTTCTTGTTCAACTCTCGGTCTGGCCTCTTCCTCCGCTCCCGCTCTCAACAGGAGAAAAATCTATTTGAGTCACCCACCTGGAACCAATTTCAACGTTCTCGGTCCATCATTTTCCGTACAGAACAGCACCTGACGCACTCAGCTCCGGTGTGATGGAGCCGAGTCTTCAAGTGAATTCATGATCGGAGGTCCGCCCGAAGTATTGCATCCGTGTTACTCATCCGGAGTACGCGGTTCAGGTACTCGAGCGAGGTTTTCGAACCCGCTCAGATTGTCACAGCGTTTTTCCCATAGATGCAGCAACAAGGCGCTTCGAATTTATCCGACGACTCGTTTCGAGCTTTAGAAATTGCTTTGAAACCGCCTCCCTCCCTCGGTTTGTCGTTTGCAACCACTTCAGTCGGCTTTTGTTACTAGATGAGTTGGCTGACTGAATGACTGACTGGATGGCTGGCTGGCAGCATGGCTGATGGCTGCCTGCGTGTCCGACTGGTACATTGTGAACATCTGAGTGGTAGGGAACAACGACATCCGGATTATCACTAGATTAACGCCTCCGAAGTGAACCTCTGAAAGAGTGGCTCGACCTTGCGATCGATCGCGCGCTCCGTTGGTTCTGTCCATCGCATGATAATCGTCCCAAAACCGCTCGTGATACCCACTCACGCAGGCGAGCATGAGAACAGGCACCTACTCGTCTACAGTATACAAACACTCTCGCTCCATTTAGGATGGTGTTGGTTTCACACTTTGCACCATTTAATGGTGACCAGCAGACCGAAAATGATATGATCCCCAATCGATTGTTACTCGGTAGAGCCGGCGTCGTCGGCCGGCGACATGAACCGCGATCTCGGAGCTCAGCTCTACACCTCGCTGAAGCGCTCGGGGACAGCGAAGCAGAACAGCAGGGCAGGGGAGTCACGACCTCGAGGACCGTCCAGGATCTCTCAAGACAATCATGGAGACCAATGAGCTCACGGATTCAGAGTCGGTCCGGAGTCTCTTCGCAGCTCTTGAGTTTTCCACAAAGCGTCCTCGGAACCGTTAGACGACTGCGATTCCTCCTCAACTACTCCGAGCGTTCCGGGTTAATGGACTCAACCGTCGATTCCGAATGGGCGCGAATGAAAAAGGAACGATTGTTAAAAACAAGTTTTTGCGCGTTTGTCGTCATCGTGCTTCTAGTGTCGCGCTCGTTCTTCAAGTGGAGTGTGAGAGAACGGCGAAGTGTTCTATCGCGGCTCTTGTCTTGTGTGACATGGCTGTTGCGGGTTGTCGAAAAGCGCGAAATCGAATTAGCATGTACAAGTGCGAAGAGCATTCTTCAGTTCGCACGGTAAGCCACGACCAAATCCATTCTTCTGATCGGTCCTCAGAACGGACTCACAGGCCGGGCACTGGCTGACTGACTGACCACAAAGAAGACAATACAGTCATCAAATAATGCCGCATTCTTCTTCGACCTCACGTTCATTGAAGTGTGCATTTGTGTGTTTTTGTGCGGATGTGCGCGCGCGCGCCCGTGTTTGCGGGAACTAGCACTCTGGAGAAAAGGCGGAACGCTATGGGCCAGCGCAAACTTTTTCTCAACATCCCCATACGCATCTTTTCGCTCTGTAATCAGACGTGCCCTCCTCCATTCATGGATTCACTCGTTCATCCAGAGCTCCCTTCGGTCCCCGAGCTGCTCAACAGAATTCGGAAAAGCAGCCAACGAGCGTGACGCATGGCGCCTCTGACTTTTCGCCGAGTCCGAGCATCAGCCGAAAACTTCTCAGTCTCTTCAGGGTCATGTCTTGAACCGCTGCCCTCGTCAGAGGCAGGTATTCGCTTTTTCCCTCCACTCCCGTCTCCCATATAGGTACTAAGCTCTGGTGAGGGGAAAGGCGTCGGTTTCATGATAATTCAGGTTCGCGAATGATTCCACGATGTCTCAATATGGGTTCGTTGCTGTTTTCTCGAAGCGCGACTGAAGTCGCCGCGCCAGAACACGGCAGACGAGAACGGAATGATGAAAGAATGGCTCTTTTTCCTCTCGTAGTCTCACTGCTAGTTGACGCGGATAACGAACACATCACGCCATTTTAAAATCACTTCGTCCTTACACAGACACACGGACGACCGGTCGGTGTGTCCGCCCGTTCGTCTGATTCAGTCCGACTTGTTCGGTGCTGATCGCATCTTCTTTTTCATTGCAGAAGATCAGCTAACAACAATTTCCTACCGACAACGACGGAAGCATCACCGACAACAACAACCACCGCCACCGAAACAACAGTAGCAGCGATCGTCGCGGCGACAACAACAAGGAGCAACAAGACCATGATTCTGAACTGAATGCGCAGCTGGCATCAGACGGATCAGGTCGGTCGGCAGGCACTCACTTCTCCAGAAGCAGGAGATCTGATACTCTCGTGATGAGTCGCCACCGTTGTCATCGTTGCCGCTGCTGCTGCTGTCTACAAAGGCTTTGTCTCGTTCGCGAGGAGATATCTCGCAACTCGCTCCGACTACCGTTCAAATAGACATCAATCACGGAACACCCCGGAAGGTTCGATTGGATGGGCTGGACCCTCGAAAACGACCGCAGCCGGACGAACTCGACGACAGCGGACCGTCGTCGTACATGGGCCTTTTGTCACGTTCAAGTTTGACGAATGCGTCGACGGACTGCTCCCTCGCTCACTGGGAGCTCGAAGTCGCGACGTGATGACGACTCGGGAGTTCGGGAGGGAACTAGGTCCATACCTAGTTGATCGACCATCGAGGGAAACTGACGCGAGAGGCGAGGGATACTCCTCCGAGTAGGGGGGAGGGGGAGGTCTGAGAATTTCCCAGCGATTCCCATCGGCGAGATGGATTATTCGAGCGGCAGAGGAAAGAGGACCCAGTGACGAATTATTGTCGGACGACGATCACGTCCATCTGGTCGCTCCGAAAACAAACTTTGACTAGACCACCATGTCGGTCGCGTCGAGCAGGTCAGCCGAACAAATGGAAGTCTCAAATTCAATTAGATGGAGAAAAAACTCACATCCGATCCTCTTCGTCGTCTTGTTCCCGTTTTGATTCCGTTTTCGAAGTCCTTACAATCGCGAGCAACTTCTGGCTCAGGTGCCCCACTGAGATGCTATCATCTGCTTCGTCAATATGATCACAGGAGCTAAATCGTCGTGATGGTATTCACTCTTTCATTCATCGAGATCCAAAGGGACGCACTGAACAAAACCGAGCCTGAATGCCATGTATACTTTAGCGGCCGCTTGCAATTGAACCTATCGAGCGAGCGAGCGAGCAAACGACCGTCCGAGCGAGCCAACGAATAAACGAACGGAGCGTATCGGTGATCTGAGCATTTCAGCTGCTCAGATCGCTCGATGCGTTGTTCGCAAAGAGGTTATGCATACTGACGAATCCGTTTTGTGCTCCCATTCGATATCGAACCACTCAACCCCCTTGGAACAAGCACAAAATGAAAAATAAATTTTCCATTGCTGATATTTGTACCTAGATGAATTGTCTAACCGAACATTTGATATGCGATATCGGTGGATATCTGGAACCTGATTTTTTTCTGCGGGAGGACTGCAAGTCCCCGACCCGAAAAGAATAGGAACTCGAAGGCTAGAGGAAGGAATAATTGTGAGGATTATTGTCTCAGTACTCACCGATTCTTGGCGGCGGCGGCTCGGTCCCTTTGGCGACGGTTCTTGAACCAGTTCCCTACCTGGGTCGGGGTGAGCCCAGTTGCCTGGGCGAGTTCTCGCTTTTTCGTTGGGTTTGGATATGGATCTTGCAGATACCACTCCCTCAAGAGGCTCCGGGTGCGCTCCTTGAAGCAGTGCGTTTTTTGCTCGCCGTCCCAGATCGTTCTGGGCAATGGGAACTTCTTGCGCACCCGGTACTTGTCCACAGGCCCCAGAGGTCTGCCACGCAGCTTTTCGGCTTCCTGGTAATGTGCCTCTAGCCACATTGCCTGCAGTTTCGCGTGCGACGACTTCGTGAAGCGGTGGCTCTCGAGGATCGCGTACAGTTCGCGGAAATTGCCGCTGTGAAACGCCACAAGGGCCCGGGCCCTTAGCACACTCTCGTCGCGATTGAGTTCCGCGCAGTTCGGATGAGCCACGGGAAGCGACCACAGGAAGCGTCCGAGTCTCTCGATATCTCCACTTTCCTCGAGCGTCTCGCAGACCGCGGCCACCTGCTGGACGGAAAAGTTCAACGTCGGTAAGGCCGCGGCGCCCGTCGTAGACGAAGGGGATGCCCTAGAGGCGGGGGACGCGGGCGCGTTCGGAGGTGTCGACGGAGGACTCGACGCACTGTTGTGAGTGTGGTTGTTGTTGTTGCTGCTGCTGTGATTGTTGTTATTCGAGTTGTTGCTAACGGCGTTTGCGTTGGTCAGGGCCGCAAGGGCCAGCTGCGTGGCGGACCCCTGAAGGGCCGCGCACATCATGGCATTTACGTTTGCCAGGTTCAATTGCGAGGGTACGACCATACCAGGGACTGTCGACAGAAGACGACTTGGACTACGTGCGGGTGGCTCCATCATCTAGTTTCGATAGCTTGTTCTAGTTTCTCGTGTGCTCGTCGCGAGCAGATATTCGCTCTTCTTAATAGCTTGCTTGATTGATTGATTGTTCTCACGGCTAGAGACTGATCCCGGATGAGTGCGTGGGCGATTGTCCGCTCAATCGAACATCCACCAATGGACTGAACTCTCGCTCTTTCTGTCGTCGATCTATCGGTCAATCGACGAATCGATGAGAGCCAGCGACGCCGTTACGTTGTTCGCTGCAATGCAGAGAGTCCGAACGACCTTCACAGGGAATTTTTCCTTTGGCGGGTCGAGGACGTTCAGTCAATTTCACCCCTGTCTGCTCCCGTGGGAGACTGGAGGGGGGCGGGGGACCAGGGGAGGACAGTCGGCCTCGGCCCGCGATTGATTATGCAACCAATCGGATTGCTCAGCCGACCGATCGCAGAATCGATCCGCGGGAAGGCGAATCAGTCATGTGACGGTCAATCAATTCATGGAACGGGAATCGGGAACGATTCCCTGGACGCTGAGCTGGAGGACGATAATGATCTTCTAGACGATGACGGTGATGGGAAGAAGTCACACTTCGGACGGAGCGTTGGGTTGGTCGGAGGTTTTTCTGCTCCAATATGTGCGGATGATGTGGGAACAGTGAGGGAATGACGTTGTCAAACAGCTAGGGACACGGTTGCACTATTTTGTCGGATGCACAGTCACTCCCGGATTTCTCCCATAGAGTCTCGCGAAGCAGTTTCGTTCTTTCTGCCGCGAGGGCGCACGAAATTCGACAGTTCCTCTCGAACGTCCGTCGCGGTACCGACGGTTTACACAACCTAGACCAGCGGTCTCACTTGGCCATACGCGATGCGATCGCGACTACGAATTTACCTCGAAAGGTCCCCCGTCTGTGGACGTCCGAGGAGAAAACACAGGACGGTTCCACTCCGTAGACGTTTCCCCTCGGAACTGTTTCGGGACCTTCCGAGTCACTGTGGGGACGGTAGCGGGCGATGACACTACGGCGGTAGTTCACGGCAGGAAGTTTTCTCCCGAGTCGCTCTCGAGAGCTCTAGTCGCAAGCATAGGCTAGCTCCGTTACTGGCTAGGTCACTGATCCGGTGCTGGTGGGTCTCGGCTGGGCTTATGCAGGAGCGGATGGCCGGCTCGGCCAGCGACCACCGTTGAAATGGAGCCGCATGAAAACTATCTATAGCCGCCGGGCCGTTCGTCGGTGTGTCCGTCGAAAGAGCGGCGACCGACCGACTCGCTTCTCATACACAGCCGGGCAGGAAAGCAGACGCAGGAGACCCACACCACACTCGTTCGTCGTTCGCCCGCTCGCTCACTCACTCACAAGACAGGGAGGATAAAACAGCATTAAAGACACGGCAATCCGATAGGCCCACAATGATAGCTGCACCCTGAGACCGCCCAGTCGGCAGCGGCCAATGGCGCAAGCAGCTCAAACTCCGCCTCTGGGAAAGGACCCCGTTCCTGGCTCGCTCGCTTGGCTCAGCAGCAGACACTCAACCTGGCTGCTGCCGCCGCCGCTGCCGCCACCGCGGTGGCTGCTGCTACTTCTTCTGATGCTCCTTCTTCCTCTTCTGCTGCTGCTGCGCTCGCCGCCACTACCATACCACCGATGCCATCATCCATCTATCCATCCGTCCCTCGACGTCTATCGACATCACCGACACCGCAGCGGCAGTGAAAGCCTCTTCTACCTACTACCTGCCTACAGATGGAGGGGAGCGATGAGGGAGGAGAGTTACGAGCGCGAAAGCTCCTCGAAGCAAATAAACATGGCAATTGGAGACTGTGAGAACTTCGGCAGCAATGATCAATAACGAAGGATATTCTGATCCCTGCCACAACAACGGTATCATTCCATGAACTTTTTTCCATATTTATTTTATTATTCATCTATTCATCAGACATCCATTATTACATTATTGTATCTATTGGAGGGAGGCAACGATCGGCGTATAATCGCCAAAGTTCCCCCAAGTCTTTCCCGCTGCCCGGCCCAAACCCTCCGGTTTTTTTCGTCGTCGATATCATCCAGTGGTGGTTGGGCGATTGAGAAGGAAACGCCGGCGGACGAGTTTGTATTCTTGCTTTTTATGGGGCGGGGGATCGTTGGAGCTTCGATAGACTTTCCTCTTCGAGGCTCCCGTTTCCGATCCGAGAGAAGAAACAGCGGAAGACAATCGAAGTCCCAACATTGATGTCGACTCCCATCTCCCATCCCGAACTCTGAAGAGGACCGGTGTGCCCGAGGGCTTGAAGCGAGGGGAAGGAGATCTCCGAGTTTTTCGGAGGCAGTCTAGCGCGATCGTTCCCGGGAGAATGATTTTCCGGTCATATCCAGATCAGCTGAACATATCCCCCTCTGCGACATCGACCGCGAGTTGACTTGTGGTTTCCGGTTTCGGAATGAGCATCATCGCGAATACCGATCATTATGATAATGTCTGCGATTCCAATTAGGGCGTCGGAATCGGAATCCTGGATCCTCCAAAGACGAAGTATTCTAGCGCTGACTCGCGAGTCGCGAGGAGGCCTCTGGATAAGACCGACCGTCCTCTAATAGGCAGACGAGGTGGAGATTATTTCACACGCTTCGCCACCGTCTTGAGCATCGGCTTGGTTTCCCTTGAAAATATTTTTTGGTGTTAGTCCACTGCAATTTCGCCCAATTCTTCCGTTTGAGACGGGTTCGGACTGCACTGATCATGGGAAATCAGAGACTTCTCGCTAGCTTCGATCACAGTCTTCACGAAAAATGGGAGATTTCAATTCTTAGCCATCCATAAATAATATTTCTGCTATGAACAAGTCCGACACTCGTCTACCGATCACGACGTAGTTCTCCGGGTATTCTGCGCCCCTGACTACTGCTTATCACTCATCACTGATCACTTATTATCTATTAGAACGATTCGGCATACGCAAAACTTCGAGCTCGACTGCTCTCATATTGGAGCCACGTCAGAGCTCTGGGCAAACGTCCTGTTTTGGAGGAAATCGGTTCAGTGCAATGCGGAGGGTAGCCGTTTCGAGAGCCCGTCAGTGAGCTCCATGGAAGGTAACGGAATTCGATCCGAATTCCACTGGAGCAGCGAATTATTCCACTTGACCGAATCTTCTTAACAGAATGACCCCCGACGCTGCCCCATTCACGGATGGTTCGAGCGAGGATTCGGGCACCGTCGAACACAACTCCATCCGTTTCAATGTTGTATTGGTGAAGTGCTCGAGAAAATGGGTGATGGATCGGCATTAGCGATGCATGAGGCCTTGCGGCCCGACTGTCTTGATCTCGAAGAAACTTCAATTGACCACCTCAGCGAAAACCAGTAGGGAACTCCCTGAGATATTCTGAACGGGCGGAAGAAGATCGATACGAAGTGCAGGAGAGATTCGATAAAATCAGGTATCGAGGACGGCCCGTTATCTCTGTGAGACGGCGACGCCGGTCCACGGGGAGCTCTCCTCTGCGAAGGGCGGGTATCTGCGTTCGACAGAATGAGATAGTTAGTCTCGAAACTGGCACTCGCCAGGGATCCGTGGCAGCACAAGCGGGTCGCTACACCCGCTATAACGTTTAATCCCCGAGAATCTCGAGATCTCCCGAATTTCCAGAAGTCGTCAAGTCTGTCGGAAATGTCCTGTACTTTACTAGCGACTCCGACTCAGATTCGCAGCGATAGTTCGGTTGAGAAAACTCATTGATCATCAGAATCTGCTGTACGTATAGACGCATGCATCATTACTGTGGATCGGTATTCAGCCGCTCCCACTGCCGCTCCGCTCTCTGGTCCTCAGAGTCCAGATAAAGAAAGTTTCGTCCCGCTGGAGTTCGACTGCGACGCTCAAGGATCGAGCTCCAGCTTCAGTGACTTTGCTTTGAGAAGTTTCTGTCGCGAAGTATCTCAAAATGGAACAGCGAAAAGTCTCGGTGGAAACTCCACTCGGATGTCCCCATGCGGTCCCTGACGAAATCCTCGCGCCTTAGAGCCAAGCGATACACGAGCCATTCGTCAGCCCTACCTCCATCGGTGGGAGTGTTTTTGTTTCCCCATCCCTCCGTTTTGTCGGGCTCGGAATATCGGCCGGCCACAGTATCTTAAGCTCCTGACCGTAAATAGAGGTTGCAGGCGACGCCCTACCGGAGCGAAATCTACATAGAGCGCGAATAAGAAACTAGCTTTCCTATCAGTTTAAGGCGCTTTTGCGCCCATGAGCCCATGAGTCTGATAAGGAGGAACTTTCAAAGTCTGCTCATCCGAGATCGAGGTCTTCCCCGTCATCATTGCATGACCCATCATCAGCGGGATCGATCCCGATCCAGGACGGTGATGTTCACACCACAATGTCGCCGAATCCCACGAAATTCCTCCCCTACGTTGCGCTGACGTTCACTCGACTCAAGACTCGATGCCACCTACCCGAACCCTCTCTCTATCATTCCGTTCCAAAACTCTCGCGCGATGCCCTCCGAGTAGTCGGAGTCCTGTCCGTGGTAAGAAGGACCTCTGTCCCGCCGCTCGCCGGACGTTACGCTCAACTCATTCAGCCAGATTCAGTACTTGTCAGACATCTCCGAGATTGACGCTGCGTAATTCGAGAATCCGATGACTGAGTTGCGGATACGCTCTGAAGAGATCGATGTCGCATTGGGCTTGCGGGGAAATTTCCCTCATGTGATTTCTTAAAGAGAAATTCGTGGAGGAATGGCAGACAGTATTTCCGTGGTTCCTGCTTTCGAGTGTGCCCGGGCGACGAGAAGCAGAAATGTGGAGTCGATTCATTCTCCCCCGCTGGGCCTCGAAGCAGAACGGCAGTGTTCCGCGGGATATCGCTCCCAGGCACAGAAGTGGAGAGCGACCGTATCCACAGGGACTGAACGGGCCCCGAGTAATGAGTATTCTGCCGACTCTCGGGATCGGAGTTCC